ACATACAGCACTATTGATACACTCAGCACTATTGATACACTCAGCACTATTGATACACACAGCACTATTAATACACACAGCACTATTGATACACTCAGCACTATTGATATACTCAGCACTATTGATACACACAGCGCTATTGATACACTCAGCACTATTGATACACACAGCCTATTGATACACTAATCACTATTGATACACACCACAATATTGATACACACAGCACTATTGATACACTCAGCACTATTGATACACTGAGCACTATTGATACACACAGCACTATTGATACACACAGCACTATTGATACACACAGCACTATTGATATACACCGCGCTATTGATACACACAGCACTATTGATACACTCAGCACTTGATACACACAGCACTATTGATACACTCAGCACTATTGACACACAGCACTATTGATACACACAGCACTATTGATACACTCAGCACTATTGATACACTCAGCACTATTGATACACTTAACACTATTGATACACTCAGCACTATTGATACACTCCACACTATTGATACACACAGCACTATTGATACACACAGCACTATTGATACACACAGCACTATTGATACACACAACACTATTGATACACTCAGCGCTATTGATACACACAGCGCTATTGATACACTCAGCACTATTGATACACACAGCACTATTGATACACTCAACACTATTGATACACTCAGCACTATTGATACACTCAGCACTATTGATACACTCAGCACTATTGATACACACAGCACTATTGATACACTCAGCACTATTGATACACACAGCACTATTGATACACACAGCACTATTGATACACACAGCACTATTGATACACACAGCACTATTGACACACACAGCGCTATTGATACACACATCACTATTGATACACACAGCACTATTGATACACTCAGCACTTTTGATACACACAACACTATTGATACACTCAGCACTATTGATACACTCAGCACTATTGATACACTCAGCGGTATTGATACAAATAATTACAGCCAAAACACTGGGAAACGTTGAAAGTGTTTCGCTTGCACGACTATAATCGTAGACGCCACGGCGGTGCACGCGTGTGATCGAGTAATCGGGAGGCAAACATTGGCGGATCGCGTCGACATTTGTGGAACTCCTGGGCTGCAAGGTGGCCAGGAGATGGTAGTGCGGCAAATTGTCTTGTGAACCCATGTGTACAGTGGGACGTTGAGTGTTATTGCCTCATGTGCGTGATGGGTTTTCTCCAATACCCAGAGCACTCATTCATCAAAAAATGGCCAACCATCCCGATACAGGACTCTCCTAGGTGTTTTTTTATCACTGTTGTTGAGACTCAGTGAGGTTTTCTTGTATAATAAATGACAAAATGAATTGTCAACTGTCGGACTTTCATACCACACATTCCTTATCATGCAAAAACTCTTCACCGAGTCTCAAGGACTCCTTTTTTGCCGAGTGTTCCTGCACTGGGATGCTTGGCCACTTCCTCTTTAACTCGGGTTCATAGTCACGTGGGAGGAGATTGGAGCACCCGGAGAAAACCCACCGACGACAACAGAAGATGACGTTCGAAGGTGCCACACGGATGGGGCTCATGAACCCGTGCGCTGCGCTTACATCTCCTGAACACGTCATGGTTGGGAGTTTCACAAATGTGCGTGATCCACCATCCCTTACGTCCAGTATCGCAAGCACGCGCCACCACATCTTGAGACTCATACTGAAGCTTTCCCGGATAAATCAAATGCAGTTGGGTTACTGCGTTGTAATTACGCATTGGCGCGGAGATGCAATGGTACGATCTGGGCTGACTCCCTTTCGCTGCATTCTTGACACTTTTCCAGGACGCAGGACCCCCCCAGCAACGCCCAGCCAAACCTCCCCTGCCCATCGTGGCTCGCTGGCAATTAGCGCGGCATTGTGTGCGGGCAACGGGGCCCTGAAAGACGCCATAGAGAGCGTGGACAATGTTGAATGCGTGGGGTCCAGGCAGACTCACACTTCACGCCTCCTCCTCCTCCTCCCCCCCAGGGCCCACTCCGTCCTCTCCAAAAGGCCCCCTCCATTCATCAGTCACTGGAAGGGTCGGCCGCTTTGTTTTGAGCTCTTATCCCCCCCCCCACCTCCCCGGTTATTTTTATGCTTTGCGAAGCTATAATGCAGTAACGCCACAATGAATCGGCACCTCTGATTAGCGCGGTTGGATACGTGCGGTGCGAAAGAAGTTCAACATACAAACTCTTTTTCAGGAGGGTCGTGCTGCATTGGAGATGTTTGGCCAATAGCACTTGCATTGTATGGAATGGGGTATTTAAGCTATGGGAGAAAGAGGCATGTGAACGAGGAGGAAACTCATGCAGAACAGGGGTGGGGGGTGGGTAGAGAGAGAACATAAAGCTCCTACGAGGAGAGTCCGGGAATCGATCACAGGAGTGCTTCATGCGAGGCACGGGTTGTTAGCATTGCACAAACCCAAAGCTGCCCACTTATCCCCCTTACGGTTGATATTGCAGCTTAGTTATGGGCGCATTTAGGAACACGCGTTCTAAAAAGGTGTTTAAATTAACGAAGAAAAACACGAGAGAATGTTCAGTCATCAATCATGAATGTGCATGCTACGCAGCACATCACACGATTGTATGCAACAACGTACAAAATCTCGTAAACATGTTTACAAGCTATTTACTGTTTGATGTTTTTATTTTACCAGGTAAGGCCAACTCATCTGCCGTATATCTCTTTTTCAGAAGCGACATGACCACAGATTAGAGCTAAACGAAGTGGCCCATCATATGGACATTTATTACAGCCAAATATGTTAATGTGAGAGATTACCATGTGATTTAATTTATTTATTTTATTTGTTATATTATACCTACGTGACCTTACCGAAAGAACCAAAGAGTATGGAGCCAAATACTCTAAAGGTGTGTTGATTCTGCACGTGGAGGGAAAAACCGGGGGACATGGAGAAAAAAGTCCACGCGACCACGGGGACAGGGACACGCAAAACTCCAAATATCAGGATCGGGATCGAACCCACGCCCTCCTGCATACCAGGGCGAGGCAGGTAACATCTCATAGCCATCGCGGTCCCTCTTAATCGTGGTACCGCGTCACTGTGTGAGATGGCGACGATTTAGGGAGGCCTTCATCCAGCAGTGGATCTACTACGGCCGATGATGTTGATTCGAATCGCGTGAGAGAAACCCATCGATTCGTACGCACACGATGCGATCGATGCATACATGCATCGTCAGTTTAAAACTCGATGCTGAGCGTCACACCGTGACACAGTTGGAGTCTGGAGAGTAGTGCCAAGTTCATCTTCTTGGTTCTTTCGGTAAAGTCACGTAGAATGGAAATAATAAAATAATAAAAATAAAACATAATAAAATAATTCTCACGACGTTTCGGCCACAACGCAAGCTGCCGTCCTCATGAGGAGAACAGGTCTGTCGACAGACCTGTTCTCCACCTATTTTTATTATTTTATTATTTCCATTCTACGTGACTTTACCGAAAGAACCAAGAAGATGAATCCCTGCAGTCACGAAAGCTTTACATCGAAATGTAGTGCCATGTTGCTTGTGCACTGCGCCACGAGGCTTGGCCACCCGGGTTCAATTCCTGGCCACGGTTAACGTCAGTGAAAAGTGATAACCGAACCCCGCCTTGACCTTCTGTAGGTCGACTCAGCCTTAAATTAGTACCTGAAGCTATATGTTAGTAGGATCAGCAATGAGGAGACAAAGGCGACCATCGCTAACCATAAACGATCTGTTGCCTCTTGAGTCAAACATTGGATTTTTTATTTTGGCATGCGCGTGTGTTCAGAAAGGTCACCTTTTGCGCGTATTATGTGGCAGTACACATTTGTTTGTGGTGATGTATACGTTTTGTTTGTAGTGTACCGTCCTAGAAACTAGTTCTGTTAGCCAATGCCCCAGCGTGTTTTTTTTCTGTATTAAGCCCAGGGGGGTGGGTAAATGCAGTTCAAAAGAGCTGTTCCCCCACTCCGAGCAATAATAATAACAATAATGTTCGGCGTTGTAGCAGTAGCAATGGTAGCTCTGCTAGGAGCCGCGCATTCCTGCCTTCATAAACCCACGCACATGGTTGGGGTATTTACTCTGGATTCAAATGCGCTTGCGATGGGCGAAAGTCCTGTTTGTGACGTGCAAGCGTTGAGCACACACACACACTCAGGCGCGCACACATACGCACAACAAAGACAAAGATCCCCCGTGTAGCCTTTAACAGACTGTTGGGGCAAGTGCTGTGAGCGAGCACCAACGAAGGACGACACGGCACACGAGGGGGGTGGGTGGACAGCGCCACGCCCGGCCATCTTTGTCTCACCTTGCGTCGATGTTTTTACGCACCACTCCAGGGACTCATTTGAGGCTGAGTCAACCGAGAGGAGGCCCGGGACCAGCTCAGATATTCGTCACTGGTGTTGGCCGTGAGCGGGAATCGAAATCGGGTGGCCGGATTCGTAGTGTAGCGCGCTAACCGCTTCACCACCGCTCCGCATACATGGACTTTCACACACACGATGCATACATACATACATTCAGATGTGCACACACGGACGTGCTTACAAATAAAACAAAAGATCCCCCGTATAGCCTTTAATAGATTGTTGGGGCAAGTGCTGTTAGCGAGCACCTATGAAGGCCGGCACGGCAAATTCATGGGTGGGTCGCTGGCACCATCATCGTATTTGTGGGTGAGGAGCGGTCGTGTAGTGGTTAGCGAACTGCGACACGAAATCGGCGGACCTGAGCACAATTCCAGCCCACGGTTAACATTAGTAGCAAATATCTGAACCGGTACTGGGCCACGCCTAGGTCGACTCAGCTATAAATAAATGAATGCATGGTGCGGTGCGTGAACATCACCACTGTGGTAACAAAGGTGGCTATTGAACAGCACTCACCCCATCGGTGTTAGCAGATATGTACGTACCAAACAATACACTGGCTCCATACAATGTCACATCTTTATTTACATAATCATAAACTATAACGTTAGATTTTAAATACAGTACAGTAGAGTGGTGCAGCGATAATGGCGAATATATTGTAATACAACGGCTGGCTTTCTAACAACAACAACAACACAAACAATTATTCCCGTGTTCAAAAAAATAATTTGATCCCCTCTCGTAATTTACAATGCAGTCACGAGCCACGGATATCGGCAACGAAAAATATGCGGTAGGACAGGGGCGCTATAAATAATACGGGTGGTGATGATGGTGCGATTTCTGCTACAGCTGATGATGGTGATGATGGTGGTGGTGATGATGATGATGATGATAGTGGTGGTGGTGGTGGTGATGATGATGGTGGTGGTGATGATGATGATTGTGGTGGTGGTGATGATGATGGTGGTGGTGGTGATGATGATGGTGATGGTGGTGGTGGTGATGGTGGTGGTGGTGATGATGATGATGGTGGTGGTGGTGGTGATGATGATGATGGTGGTGATGATGATGGTGTTGGTGGTGGTGGTGATGATGATGGTGGTGATGATGGTGGTGGCTGAAGCTGCAGCTGCTGAAGATGACGTGACGGGTGGATTATCATCATCATGAAAATGATGATGGAGTTGATTGGCGGTGTCTATTTGATGGATGAATTACTCATCTGGCTTGCGTTAGCGACTCGCTTGCACGACATTTTGTGCGCGTTATAAATCATTTGTGGTGGCGGTGATGTTTCGTCAACAAACAGCAGCTGCTGCCGATTATGACGACGAAGGTGATGACTGTAGTGGTTTTCTTACGATGGTGTTCGTGGTGATAGTACGACGATGCTAGAAGTGATTGTGATCCGTACGGTTCTGATGACGACGACGAGGATGGTGGTGGTGGTAATTGGTATAGTGGTAGTGTTGTTGCTAGTGATAATGATGGTGTTGTCAATGATGGTGGTGGTGGTAATTGCTATAGTGGTAGTGTTGTTGCTAGTGATAATGATGGTGTTGTCAATGATGGTGGTGGTGGTAATTGCTATAGTGGTAGTGTTGTTGCTAGTGATAATGATGGTGTTGTCAATGATGGTGGTGGTGGTAATTGCTATAGTGGTAGTGTTGTTGCTAGTGATAATGATGGTGTTGTCAATGATGGTGGTGATGGTAATTGCTATAGTGGTAGTGTTGTTGCTAGTGATAATGATGGTGTTGTCAATGATGGTGGTGGTGGTAATTGCTATAGTGGTAGTGTTGTTGCTAGTGATAATGATGGTGTTGTCGATGATGGTGGTGGTGGTAATTGGTATAGTGGTAGTGTTGTTGCTAGTGATAATGATGGTGTTGTCGATGATGGTGGTGGTGGTAATTGCTAGAGTGGTAGTGTTGTTGCTAGTGATAATGATGGTGTTGTCGATGATGGTGGTGGTGGTGGTAATTGCTATAGTGGTAGTGTTGTTGCGAGTGATAATGATGGTGTTGTCGATGATAGTGGTGGTGGTGGTGCTAGTTGTTGGTGGCACTGATGCTAATGCTGCTTCCAGCTCTGTTGTTTTTATTGATGCTGCTGCTTGTGCTGATTCTAGTGTTGCTATCGCCCGTGCTACTAATGAAAGTGGTGGTGTTTTATAATGTTGCCGATGTTAATCCTGCGAATGTTGCTGGTGCTGCCGATACTGCTGATACTGCTGATGTTGCTGATATTGCTGATGCTGTTGCTGATGGTGATAGTTGCGGTCTTTGTACTGCTGCTGCTGGTGTTGATGATGATGATGTTGTCGATGTTCATGGTGGTACTTGCGGTGTTGTGTACCGTGGCTGCTGGCACTGCTTGCTTGCGCTGCTGTTGGTGCTGGTAGTGATGATGCCCGTGCTGACGATGGTACTGCTGGTGCCAGTGGTGCTTCTAATGCTGGCGCCAGTGCTGGCGGTGCTGCTGGCGGTGCTGCTGCTGCTGATAATGATGATGACACTGCTGCTGGTGGTACTGCTAGTGCTGGTGCCGGTGCTGCTGCTGCTACTCTCTACTCGTGGTAGTGGCGGTGCTAATTATGATACCACTACTGCATGTGGTGGTGGTGCTGCTGGTGGTGCTGCTGCTGTTGCTGCTGCTGGTGCTGCTGGTGCTGCTGGTGGTGCTGGTGCTGCTGGTGCTGCTGGTGTTGCTGCTGCTGCTGGTGCTGCTGGTGCTGCTGGTGCTGCTAGTGCTGCTGGTGCTGCTGGTGCTGTTGGTGGTGCTGCTAGTGCTGCTTGTGTTGCTGCTGCTGGTGCTGCTGGTGCTGCTGCTGGTGCTGCTGGTGCTGCTGGTGCTGCTAGTGCTGCTGGTGCTGCTGGTGCTGTTGGTGGTGCTGGTGCTGCTAGTGCTGCTGGTGCTGTTGGTGGTGCTGCTAGTGCTGCTTGTGTTGCTGCTGCTGGTGCTGCTGGTGCTGCTGCTGGTGCTGCTGGTGCTGCTGCTGGTGCTGCTGGTGCTGCTGCTGGTGCTGCTGGTGCTGCTGGTGCTGCTAGTGCTGCTGGTGCTGCTGGTGCTGTTGGTGGTGCTGCTAGTGCTGCTTGTGTTGCTGCTGCTGGTGCTGCTGGTGCTGCTGCTGGTGCTGCTGGTGCTGCTGCTGGTGCTGCTGGTGCTGTTGGTGCCGCTGGTGCTGATGGTGCTGTTGGTGCTGCTTGCTAGTATTGCTGCTGGTATTGCTGCTGCTGGTGGTGCTGCTGGTGCTGGTGCTGCTGCTGGTGCTGCTGGTGCTGGTGGTGCTGCTGGTGCTGCTGGTGCTGCTTGCTAGTGTTGCTGCTGGTGCTGGTGGTGCTGGTGCTGCTGGTGGTGCTGCTGCTTGCTGGTGCTGCTGGTGCTGGTGTTGCTGCTGTTGGTGTTGGTGCTGCTAGTGCTCCTGGTGTTGCTGCTGCTGGTGCTGGTGGTGCTGGTGCTGCTGGTGGTGCTGCTGGTGCTGCTGGTGCTGCTTGCTAGTGCTGCTGGTGCTAGTGCTGCTGGTGCTTCTGCTTCTGCTGGTGCTGCTGGTGGTGCTGCTGCTGGTGCTGGACGCGGGTTCTATGCGGCCGTGAAGTGCGAGCGGACCGAGTCCTGTCGGAGCTGCCTGTGTTTCTCGGTGTCGTCTCCCAGCGAAGAGGTCCGCCTCTTCACGCGCACCTCGTACAGCCTCCTGAGTCATCACCATCAGAATCACCATTAGCAGCAGAAGCAGCAGCAGCAGCATCGTGAGCATCATCAAGAGACCCGTATTCTTGATCACGGATTGGCGCCGGCTGGGGAGTGAGCTGGCTCGAAGCCGTGCTTAACTTGAGCCGGCTCTGAAGACGGTCCCAGCCAGACTCCGGGGAGCTGAGCCTGAGCCAAGCCAAGGCTGAGCCGCTCATGCCCGAGCAGAGCTGTCCTCGAGAACGAGCCGTAGCCGTGACTATTTACGATAAACTATTTTTTTTATTTTACCAGGTAAAGCTCACGGAGCTATGTAGCTCTTTTTCAGAAGCGACCTGGCCACAAATGATAGCTCAACGAAGTGGCTTATCGCGTGGAAATTTATGACAAGCAAAATTAAATACCCTAAACGCATGTTTTTAAATGTAGAGGAACAAATCGGGGGAACCAGAGAAAAAAAAATCCACGTAATCACGGAGAAAGAGCGATGCAAACTCCAAACATATAAGCGTCAAGGTCAGGATCGAACCCACCACCTCCTGTGTACCAGGCGAGGTAGTAAACATTTCGCCACCCTGGCGCCCAAAGAATACGAGCCGCCCCCTATAGTTGCCCTCCTTCTCTACAGCGTCATCACCATGAGCCATCATCTATTCACTGCTGGCTGAAGGCCTCCTCAAGCTTTCGCCAGCTCCGTCTAGCTTCTCCACACGAGATAATTGCATCGCTCCATCTCTCTGATGCTTCCAGCTTGTGTTGGACAGCCTGGTACACTTGAAGCCTCGGGTGTGCACAAAGACAAAGACCCCCCGTATAGCCTTAATAAACTATTCGGGCAAGTGCTGTTAGCGAGCACTTGTGAAGGCCGGCACAGCACACGAGGGGGTGGGTGGCCAACGTCAGCTTTCGCGGCAAATATCATCCATGATACGGGGTTTTTGTGGGTTAGATCGCATAAATAGAAATGTGTTGTTAAACCCGCCACCACCCGACAGAGCCAACTAGTAAGGTTTGTCACGTGAGCAGAACAAATCTGGCTGTCCGCCTGATGATGCCGGTTGTAACTATATACTGGAGAAACGTCGTACTCAGATTGTAAATGTTGTGGATTTGCTCACCATTACACCGTTGTGCTGTACTAGTAACGAATTGGCATGTTCTGTTTTCGTGACAAACTTTACTAATTGGCTGTGTGGGGTGTTGGCGGGTTTAACAACACATTTATATGTACACCTTTGGCTGCCAGTTAGTTTGTCCATTAGTCTCGATCACCGGCCCACGAATCGTGGCGACGTGTCCTCTGCCCGAACCCACTGACTTTACTTCTCGGCCGATATGACGTCTCTTATGTATGAAAGTCCTCTCCACGTGTTCCTCATTCTGTCTCTCGGTGTCAACTCAAGCATGCAAACCAGTAAACGGACTGGGACTAAAAATTGGCGGCAGGCATTTGTAAACTAACTGGGCCAAATTCGGCCGTGGGCAATTATTGTTTTTGTTAAATGGTTGTTGTGCGACCAACTGCATTCCAGTAGCGAGATTTGCGGTGTGACGTGTTAGCGTGATTTACCGTGCGATCTCATTGGCACATTTGAGCTGGTCGAAAAAAACAAACACAAACCGGCGTTTGGAATGGACCGGCAGGTATGCTGCCCTGTAGCCAGTCCTGGGCCTGCATGCACCCCTGCATGCTTCCACATCTAAACTTCTGACTTCTGAACTTCATGACTTCTTTGCGCACGTGTCAGCTGATTTACAACATGGGAGATGTGTTTTTCTTGAGTCGTGTCTTTCTTTAACCGAGAATCTCGCCCCCCCCCACCCATCCCCCGCCTTCCCGTAAGTCAGTTAAGGTCCACTGTTAATTATAAAAAGGGAGTAAGATTGTTCGTTGAGCTAAATGTCCAAACGTTACAACGTGAAGAACTACTGATAAAAAAAAAGATATATTAATGGCGATCCACGGTAGTAGATCATTAGTAAGGGAGGGCGGGAGGGTATGTATACAAAGACAAGCATAGCTTATCATGAAATATATTCGTGAAATGTATTTTTTAGAGGGCTTCAAGGTTCTTATCTCGAAGCGAGATGCACTCTTCGCGTTGCAGTGGTCTTGGTGATGGTCGTTGTTATTGCTGTGTTGTGGTGACGGTGTTGCTGGTAGTGGTGGTCACTATGAAGTGGTGGTTGATGTTGTTATGGTAGTAGTGATTGTGGTGTTTATCAAGATTTGGTGGTGTTGCTTGTGGTTGTATTGGTGGTGTTGGTGCTGTTGGTGTTACTGGTAGTGGTGACCCGAGTTCGATGCCGTTCACAGCCAACACCAGTGACGACTATCTGAACCGGTCATGGGCCTCCCTTAGGTCGACTCAGCCTCAAATGTGTACCTAGTGTGATGTGTAAAAACATTTCCACTAAGGAGACAAAGGCGGCCAGGCGTGGTGCTGGCCACCTACCCCCTCGTGTGCCGTGCCGGCTTTCGTAGGTGCTCGCTAACGGAACTTACCCCAACAGTTTGTTGAGGCTATACAGGGGATCTTTGTCTTTGGTGCTGGTGGTAGTGGTTGTGGTGCTGGTGGTCGCATTGGTGGTGCTGGTAATGGTGCTTGTAGTGGTGGCTGTGGAAGGATCTGGGGAGGTCAGGCGCGTGTGAATTTAAATCCCCGAGCTTTGCTTTGTGTCTGGCTGATAGCATTGACATGGAAATGAGAGTGCACGTGGGAGAGAGAGAGAGTGGGGTGGGGAGCGGTGGCGTCGCGGTTAGCGCGCTGCATACGAACCTGACTATCCGAGTTCGATTCCCGCTCACGGCCAACACCAGTGACAACTATGTGAACCGGTCATAGACCTCCCGTAGGTCGACTCAGCCTCAAATCAATACCTGGTGCGGTGTGTAAACATCGCCACTGGAGGCAAAGGCGGTCGGGCGTGGTGCTGGCCACCCATATGTACCGTACCGGCCTTCATATGTGCTCGCAAACAGCACTTGCCCTAAGAGTATGTGTAGGCTATAGAGCGGAGCTTTGACTTTACAGTGGCATAGTGGTAAGCGAACCGCGCCACAGCGAACATGAGTGGTGAATGATATCTGAAGCGTCCCTGCTCTTCTCTAACGCCGACTCAGCCTTGAATGAGTAGCAGGTGTGGTGTGTAACACGCGCACTGGGGAGATAAAAGTGACTGAACCCCCCCCCCCCCCCTCGTGAGCTGTTAAGGCTTAGTAGGCGGTCACTAACGGAACTTGCCCCAACTGTCTATAAGACTATATGGGTGGTCTTTGACTTTATTTTGTCAGAGGGTGAATGGGTGTGTGTGTGTGTTTGTGTGTGTCCAATACAAAATATATGGCCTTGTGCAGTGGCGATGATGTCATCTCGACAACTAGAAATCGGGTTGGTGGATCACGTGGAGATCAATCATTCCATCTTGTTATACGTGCACATATACACGCTTCTTAAACATTAATAACAACTAATAGGGGTTTTCCCCTTTTTTCTGGCAACAAAACTGACACCTTTTGCAAGGAATCATGCTTACATTAACCACAATACTTGCAGTCAAATGCAAGTATTGTGGTTAATGTAATACTCTGATAATTTATGCATTGTCTTTTAAACTGATTGGTCTACACCAGAGACAGCTTTCTTTAGAGCCTAGTCTCATATGGTGTTTGACCAGATGACGCCAAAAGGCGCACAGTTCAAAGACAACGCACTATCAGAGTAATGAGAGCTCGGGGTGAACAGCAGCAAAAGGGGAAACCCCGTATTAGTATATGTTGGTACTGGCAAAGGAGGTCCCATGATGACATTAATAACAAGTAAAATAGAAAAAAAATTGCTTCTGGCATTTGAAAGCACGTGATTAGAGTGGACGTTAAGTAAGCGATGGAAGGTTTGGCGTAGAAGGTGACGATATAGTCTCGTAGATGTAATCAGGAAGAGGAGATTGCGGTGGGTGGGAGACATGTGCGGCAGGCTGGAGGAGAGCAGGTCACCGACAGAGACACTGGAGCGGCACCCCAGTGACCGTCGACCGAGTAAGAAGACCTCAAGCCGGATGGCAGTGATGCTGAAACTGGAAGGGGCATGTTTCGAGGATAGCTGTCAAATTTCGATTTAACGCTTTCGTGACTGCAGGGATTCATCTTCTTGGTTATTTCAGTACAGTCACGTAGAAGGGAAATAATACAAGAATAAAAATAAAACAATAAAATAAAAATTCTCACGACGGCTGCTTGCGTTGTGGCCGAAACGTCGTGATAATTTTATTATGTTCTATTTTTATTATTTTATTATTTCCCTTCTACGTGACTTTACCGAAAGAACCAAGAATATGATAGCTGTGAACTTTGCAACAATCGAGGAGTCTGTCTACCCGAAAGGAGGAACTGTGATTCCGTGGCACGGCAGCGTCTCGAACTTGGTCTGTGAGACGACCCCGCGGCCCTGACACGCCCTGACCGCCGACCGTGCCGCGGTACGCTGCACGTGAAACCAAGCACACGCCCCCCCACCCCCACACACACCTGGCGTAGCCGGGCACTCACCTGAAGACGAAAGTGGCAAAGAGAAGCGCGCAGACCAGCAGGAAGCCGACGATTATCGCAACGGTGCTGGCATCTCCGAGTCCGTCTGGCGTGCACAGCGGGGGCGATGCAAACTCAGAGTCAGTCGTTTAGCGGTCACGGTGTGGGAAACTTGGCAGGCATGAGCCCCCCCACCCGTCCGATTCTCAACCCCCCACCCCCTTCTCCCACCCCTTCACCGTGTGTAGTGAAGATGCATACTGTGTAAAAGTGTTGTGGTCACTGAGAGGACAAATAGAAAAGTGAAATCTCAAAATGAGTTCTTACTCAAATGTATGTATGTCGAAATTACTTTGCACTGTACGTAGCCAACCCTGCAAATCAGAGGCGAGCGTAGGGTGGCACTCATCCCGTTGTTTACAACACCGCCGAGTCGGTGGTGGGAATTCCAGAATCTTCATGGCAGGGATAGGTTAATCCGTCAGACATCCACAAGAGAATGAGAACACATGACCAAGCTATAAGGGTAGGTGTGTAAGGCGAGGTGCAATATCCACCGTGCATGCCAAGGCGTCTCTTACAAAAGAGATTCGCCGTCTCAAGAGTTTCTCGTATGGGTTAAAGTAAAATATAAAACACAGTCAACCCATCCGTGAATGAAAGACGAGGGCATCCTATCTCGAGTGGATGGAATGACATTTCTACCGGCGTGACATGTCCTGAATTACAGACACGCTCCAAGACCCGTGCGTTTATTGACATTTCGCGAACAGAGCACTCCGTTTTCCTGTCAGCAAGTCACAAATCAAAAGAAAACGGAAAGCAGTAGATGTAATAACCGTTCACGGATTGAATATTATGACAGGTGTGAGTGAGTGATTTATGTTAATTCTCATGATGTTCTGAAAGGAAGAGAAAGCTTCAGTTTGGCTTTATAGTCACGTTTGTGCTTCAATAGTGACGAGCAAAATAGTAAAAAAAAATACTTTTTTTTAATGTTTCCCGCAAAAAATGACGGCTTATAATGCATAGAGTTCCATTCACTTGATATCTAGTGCTTAAAAAATATACACTCCCCGTCATCAGTGAAGCAAGCAATTCGCGTCCTTTGGAGTGTGATGCTCAAGCCGACCGAGAGTGGAAGAAGTCTGCTGCTGCTCACGGTCATCATTAACAATCAAGCTGACTCAATCTTGATTTTAAGCTTTCGTGACTGCAGGAATCCATACTCTTTGGTTCTTTCGGTAAAGTCACGTAGGTATGAAAATGAAATAAAATACATCACGACGTTTCGGGCGCAACACAAGCGTCCGTCATCATGTGAGAAAGCATGGCCTGATGCTGATGCAGACTGTTTTATGAGCAGCAGGCCATGCTTTCTCACCTGATGACGGACGCTTGTCTTGCGCCCGAAACGTCGTGATTTATTTGATTTAAATTTCATACCTACGTGACTTTACCGAAAGAGCCAAAGAGTATCAAGCTGACTCTCTTAAAGCGAGCAGTGCTGATCCCTGCTGATGGCTATAAACCAGCGGTAGAAATTGTATATTCTGGTGGCCCGAGCCAGTCTCTCCATGGCATAATAACTAAAAATAAAACACGACCGAATAGAAAAAAAAATTCTCCTCCATCCATCCGTCGATAAGCCAGCCACACGGCCCAAGGCTCAGGATTTAAGGATGACAGCCCCGGCATGCTCTTGCTTTGTAATGAGAAACGGGCAGTCGGTCAAGCGGAGAGATGAAATCGAATTTGCATACAGCGTGTGTTGAACCGAATAACACCGAGGCACATGTTTTTTTTTTTTATCCCCGGCGAGCCGTACGGAATTTCAATAGGCCGAGCCCGTGCCAGCAGTGAGCATTTACTGGTTGTGCTGGGGAGTTGGGAGTTACGTGGTGGGGTCAACGGGAGTAAAAACATACTTGGAACGATTAAGCCCACCAAGGCTAAAGTAGAAGTCATGTGTAGGCATCCACTTGGACTTCGCTCAGCATGGATTCTTTCTGCACGGATTCGGAACGCATTCCCCCCGTGCAGAGTGACGGTCAGGTGAGCATTGGAACCCAAAAAGAGCCATCAAACAAATGGCTTGTATCTTGTAAATGCATGCCGAAAGCTGCGTGTCGATGGGCTTTGAGATGACAGTTTGAGAAATCCTAAATGACAAAAAGACTTTGAAATGGCATAGGCTGACTCCGTCATATCGCACTCTCGTGACGTGACACCAGGGTTCATGTAACGCCTGCAGCCACTAGACGCGCTACTGTTCACACCTCCAAGTTAGCGCGGTTGGCTACGTATGGCGCGAAATAAGTTCAACATACATATGTAATGTAAACAAAATCTTTTTCTTGTCTAGAATTTCGACCCGAAATCGTAACAGTCCATAGACTCACCAGCAGAGTGAATCAGTCCAATTCTCTTATATAGTAGCATTTGATAAACTAATTAAACGACGGCGACCTCGCCGATGATGATGATGACGTGGACGAGATGGATGAGCCGTGGCATGTGACCGCTGGCGCGGGGGGGGGGGGCTACTCACAGGCGTGGCACACGCACTCGTGGGGGGCCAGCTGCGTGCCGTGGGGGGTCACCACCGCCAAGGCTTCTTGTGGCCAAGACACGCGTGCCCCTGCCACCTCCTCGAAGCTCTCCGTCCGCCCATAGTAGTTTGCCACCACCTGCCACGGCCACGGCGCACGCCACCGTGAGCCAGGGGTAATGCATGGCAAAGGCGCTGCCCAAACTGATTAATCTAACCAAAACTATTTACGATTAACTATTTTTTATTTTACCGGGTAAGGCTAACTGAGCTCTATATAGCTCTTTTTCGGAAGCATTACACGATTAGGGGGGTTGGCTGCAAACGGTGCAAAATAATTTAAACATTTCCAGGCCTACAAATAAGTGAGGGTATGCTGCTACGTCAAATCTATCGTTCTGCGTACTGTATCACACCGCTCAGCAGCAGAGCTCAAGAAAGTAGTTCATCAACTGCTCAGAAACCGCGTTATAACGGCATACATTCTTCTTTATAACGGGCGCATTCTGCATCGTGCTCCCAAAGTGTTCCCAAATTGAAAATTAACATTAAAGTGAGGACTTGTCGTATTTGAGTTGAATCTGATACACATTGATTCCATACATGCATCCTGAGCTTAAGCATTTTATTTCAACGAAGAAGTGCTGCATCTCTATAATGCTCAGCAATCACATTCCTAATGGGCCTTTTAGAGTCTTGTTCTCATTATTGAAGTTTCAAACTTGTGTTGGACAGCCTGGCGCACACACAGCATATGTGCGTAGCTATAAAGCTACACGATAAGAGAATGGGGAAGGGGGGGGGGTAAGGGAGAAAGTGGGGGGGCTCACCATTTGCCTCCCATCTTCTCCATCATCCATCGCTAACACCGAGAAGTCTCCGACACGGTCTCCATTCTGATCTATGGTCACTGGTCCTGCAATGCCTGATGGGAAAATATAAAATAATCAGCATTAGTCGATCGGTCTCCTTGCGAGCGAGAGCTCAGTTCGAGGGGGGCGATTGTCACGTTGTGGACACGTCGCCCATCTTGATGCGCAACCCCAGGAAATTACTGCGCGTCGGTTGGCGGGTCGACGTTCGAAGGGAGGACTGCGACCCTCAAAGAAATGTTGCCGCCCTCCCACCGTGATGCGTGGATCAAATAAATCACTCGGGACGACACCAGTGTATGGCAGCAAGGACAGTTCGTGCAAATGCCGTCGCAAGAGGTCACATGTTTAGTGCAACGGTCTTTCACTGACTATGCGCGATGAATGAATTAATAAATTAGTCTATCCATCATCATAATCATCATTATCCATGGTCTATCATCATCATCAGCAGCAGCAGCATGGGTCTCACCTTGGAAGGTGCGATTCCACATCTTCGTCACGATGTCCCGGCCCGAGCTGATGGAGCCGCCAGCCTCCAAGACCTCGTGCAGAGCGAGCGAATAGAGAACGACGCCGTCGTGGAAGCCCTCCACGAACATGTTCACCTGCGAGCGAACGGGCGCACGGGCGGACGCCGACCGTCGTCAGCTCGCTCGCATAGCAGGCAACTACCGCTGCCCGACTCGAAAAAATATCCACCACCAACACCACCGCCAACACCACCACCGCCAACACCACCAACACCACCACCGCCGCCACCACCAACACCACCGCCGCCACCGCCATCAAACTCACTCACACAAAACCACAACCCCCTGCCATGAATTCACTCGAACAACCACCAACGCAATACACTCCCTCTCTCGCACATTCAATCACCACCACCAGAACCTCTGCCACCCACTTAAACGAGCAACCAACAACGCCATCAACGCACTCATATAACCACAACCACCACCAATACAATCACTACCTCCACACCCCAACCACCGGCACCTTCACCATCTCTCTAGCTCCCTCCATTCCCTACCCTACCCAACCCGGCCCTCCCTTCGCGCTCACGTTGTCGTCGTAGCTGAAGTTGAAGGTCTCGCGGGAGCGGCGCTTCATCTCCACGGAGAAGGAGTCGAACTCGGCCCGCTGGGTGCGGAGCAGGGTGACTGTGCGCAGCGCGCGGAACGCGGCGCGCGCCTCCCCGTCCAGGCCGTCACCGCGCCGCCACCGGCCGTCACCTGAACCCATGCACCGTCAGTTCGCGCAATCAACAACTGCGCCCCCCCCCCCCCTTCTTCCCTTGTCATCCGAGTGATGCTGGGCCTGTCGTTCGGTGGCTGGGACGCAACCACCTTCTCGCGATACGCTTCAGAACTTGTTTCACGCTATTTTAATTACGGGAGACAAACTGCAAGAGTTTGCGTCAACAAATGCTGGCAGGATAATATCGATCTGATAAGTTCAATAAGAGCATGATGGAAACACGGATTTCTTTGTTTAACGTGCGAATGCAGAATAAGAGTTCTGCTTATTTATGCTTTCACACGTAATTATCCACATCATTGCATAGGAAGAAGGCCCATTGCCATGAAGAAGGCCCGTTACCCGATATTTATATATATTTTTCTCCTTTAGAGGCGTTGACGAGTGAGTTGAGTCATTTTGTACGCTGGGCGGTCAGTTGGGCTCTCGCCTCAGGGCGAGGAGGATGCCCCCCGAGGGCTCTGTGTATAGTTCGCGCTGCTCGCTCACCGTACTGGGTGCTGTTGAAGAGCTCGATGTTGAAGAACACGTGGTCCCCACCGGTCATGCCCTTCCTGTGCGCCTCCAGAAGGATCTCGCGCACCGAGTCGGCTCCGGCGCAAATGATCACGACTGTAACGAGAGAAACAGCGAGTCCAAAGTTCGTCCTCTCCCTGCAGCTTAAATCGTCACCGGGTCAGCACTCAAACTCCACTAGCGGCCTGAGTCGACAAGCAATGGAAACTCCACATGCCCGTAAGATTGATTATGGGCATGGAATGGACACTGTGTCTCATGACGTCATGCCTATAATTCAGTTGCAATGACTTTGGGTTTAAAATAAAAGATTTATAAAAACGAATAACGTCTTTTCGTGCTCTCCAGGCCAGATCACCCACCCCATAGAACCTGCATTTTGGAAAGGGGAAGAAGCATTCACCAACTGGCAATGCGAGCCCAGGGTTAGACTGCTGCTACACGTGGCACAAGTGACTTGATTCACTTGAATAATCCCATTAAGTAGCTCCATATATTCCAATAATTCTCTGAACAGGGTTAGGACAAAATAAGGTGATATGGATGTGGCGTTCCAAAATAAACTCAACAAACTTTCATTTACCAGGTAAAGCCCACTAAGGTATTCGCTCTTTTTTCAGAGGTGGCCTGGTCACACATTATAGCTCATTGAACGGATGATATCATCATCATCATCATCACACGTGGGACTTCATAGTAGCAGCCAAATAATCTAACCCGCGTGTTGAGTCTAAACATAGAGGAACCCGAAGAACAATCTACGCCACCACCACGGGGACAACGAGAACACGCAGGACTCCAAATATACAACAACGGGCATCGCCAGGCTCCGTGATCGAACCCACGCGCTCCTGCCGTACCATGCGAGGGAGATAACGTCCATCCGAACTGTTGCAGCTGAAATGAATCCCAGGGGAACATGCACGGATTGACTCGACATCATGCAACGCTTTCTTCTTTTCTTCTCTCTCTCTCTTCTCGCTGCCTCTTCATCCGTCGCGTTAATGCAATGAGCGCATGCCGTGGCGTGTCTGTGTTTCTCGCTGCGAAGTTAGAGGCGCAAGCCCCGCTGGTGAAGATAAGGGAGCGCTGGGTAAACAAACGCAGCGGCACCACCGCGCTTCGTTGCGGTCGCCTTGACGCTCGTGGCTTTTTTTTGCGTCATTAAATCGGAGCTGGCCATTGTGGATTTTAGCGGAACAACAATAACGACGGGGCTATGCGAGAGCGACGTCTCTCCAGTGCCACAACGAGAGCTCACGCGTTCACGCACAAAGGGCACGGCATTAAACCCCCCCACCCCCAATATCAAGTGATGCGAACTGCGATGTCCGTACGTTCAACTTCGCTCGCAGCGTACGGAGCCAACCGTGCTATTCGGGAAGTGCTGTTAGCGAGCGCCTATTAGTGACGACGTAGTCGAGGGGGTGGGTGCCAGCAAGAAGAATGGAACTTGTGTCGCCGGGTTACTAGAAGCGCAGTGCCCGTTCCACTACCCATATGCACACACAAAAAACAAGGACAAAGATCCCCCGTGTAGCCTTAACAGACTGTTGGGGCAGGTGCTGTTAGCGAGCACCTATGAAGGCCGGCACTGTGGCACACGAGGGGGTGGGTGGCCAACATCACGCCCGGCCACCTTTGTCTCCCCAGTGGTGATGTTTACACACCACAACAGGTACTCATTTGAGGCTGAGTCGACCTAGGGGAAACCCAGGACCGGTTCAAATAATTGTCACTGGTGTTGGTGATCGTGAATCGAACTCGAGTCGCCGGGTTCGTAGCGCGGCACGCTAACCGCTGCACCACCGCTTCCCACAACGCACACGCACACGATTCACATCTCTGCCATCTCTGTACGATGGCGTGGACAGGCGGGATTCTCTCTCGCCGCCTTCCCCGCACCATCCATTACGCGTGATTTACAATTCATCTCGCATCGATGCGCCGTCGCCACCGCGAGCCGATGCGGTTGGGACTTTGGAGTTGCTTTTGGTTTTTTTATTTTGCTCCGTCCGTCAGTGTCCGATGTCGGCGCTTCCGAGACGTTCCATGGCAGCGGCTTTGTGATGCTCACCACCTGCGCGTGTCACGTGCTTGGCAATGTGTGATTATACCGGGCGTGTACGTGTGGTAGTGTAGCGGTTAGCGCGCTGCGCTACGAACCCGCGGATGCGAGTTCGATTCTTGCTTCACGGCCAACAACGGTGATGATTGATCTGAACCGGTCCTGGGCCTCTCCTAGGTCGACTCAGCCTCAAATGAGTACCTGGTACGATGCGTAAACATCGTCACTAGGGAAACAAAGGCGGCCGGACGTGGCTGTGGCCACCTATCATCTTGTGTGCTCTGCCACAGCATTTGCCCCAACAGTCTTTTAAGGCTGTATCTTTATTCGTGAGTACTTATGGGTGTGATTGACCTTTGTGTGTGTGCGCGCGCACAAGCAGCTTCTGTTTGACCGGATAAGGCGAGAGATGAGATAGGCTGATGTCGTACAGGAGGTCGTGGTGTTGCGTGGACTTGCCGTGACTGGTATCAGTGGTGTCGATATTGGCCTCTTTGGAGAAAGTTCACGACGGACGCTGCTGCGCAAGTGAAGGCAGTCGCCCTCCAACAACAGAGGAGGGCAGAGGAGCGACGCTCACAACAACGAGAGGAGCGCTGGGCGGTTAAACGCAGCGAGTTGGCACATCAGGGAACACACAAGGACAGGTGGTGCATCTGTCAGTCGTCTTCGTAATTCAACCCACCTGTGTCTGGCCCGTTACCTCCTGCCAGCAAACCTTCGACACTTTACACTTCAAAGTGCACCTTGCCTGGCACAAAAGCGCCGTTGTGACGTCACCGACACTGAGTGGCGAATGGCGGTGGTGGTTGTTGTTGTTGTTTAGCGTGATTTTGTTTGTGTGTTAGTCGGTGTTTGATTATGTGTGGGGAGCGGCTACGAATCTGGCGACCCGGGTTCGATTCATGCTCACGGCCAACACCCAGTGACGATTATCTGAACCGGTCCTGGGCCTCCCCTAGGTCGAATCAGCCTCAATTGAGTACCTGGTGCGATGTGTAAACATCGCCACTAGGGAGCCAAAGTCGGCCGGGCATGGTGTTGGCCACCCACCCCTCGTGTGCCGTGCCGGCTTTCATAGGTGCTCGCTAACAGCACGTGCCCCTTCAGTCTGTTACAGGCTATACGGGGGGAGTATTTGTCTTTGTTTGATTATGGGAATGTTTGCGTGCAGGGATCTGTGGCGAAGTAGTCGGTGCACAGCCCTATGGACTCGGCTAACCGAGTTCAATTGCCGGACACGGCCAAGATCAGCGGCGAGGAGAATCCTGAACTTCATTCTGGCCCTTCCCAAGTTCTCGGGGCGTGGTGCTAACCACGCCACCACCACCACGACCACCACACCAGGTGTGCATGAGTCGACAGCTCGCTCTGGTAGTGGCTGCGAACGTTATCGTTCGTGTATGAGACGTACCTTCCAGGTGCTGCACACACGTATATACACTTCAAATCCGCGGGTAATCCGCGAAGAACGCGCCTTGCGCCCTAAAGATATTTCCTAAACTCTTAGCGAGGTGTTATGACAACAGAAACCTAAACAGTGGCGATTCTGGGACATATTTTGGGGGTGCGGCGGTGGTGGCGGTGGAGATAACCACAGAGGATGGAACAAGCCAAAATGGAGGGCACACACAGTGGGATGGACAAAGTGAATTCTAGATTTGAAACTTTCGTGACTGCAAGGATTCATATTCTTAGGTTTTTTTCGGTAAAGTCACGTAGGTAAATTTTTTACATTTAAATTAATAAAAGTAAAATAAAAATTACTTTTTTACCTACGTGACTTTACCGAAAAAACCTAAGAATAGGACAAAGTTAACTCTGCGGCGTGGATACCGAGAGCAGCTCTTAGGGGAAGAGATGGCAGCAGCAAGACAACATCAAAGAGTTCTGACGCCACTATTGGACAAGAGTAACGAAGGAAAGGAAGTAATGGAAGAAAGTGGGGCGATGCCTTTGTAAAGGAGTGGAAAGTTACAGGCTGACAACATCCAAATGTACATCATCATCATCATCAGCCACGGGCAATCCACTGCTGGATGAAGGCTTCCCAAGCCACCGTCATCTCCCACGATCCTGTCATACACACAAACTCAATGTCGGATACCACCAGTAGGAGCAGATTTGTGGATCAAGTGTCGAATGTGCTGCAGGATGTGGCTGAAGGAAGGAAGCGATGGCGAGGTGTGGGTGGCATCAGATAAGGAAGCCGTGATGATGACTTTTTTCCAACTTGAGTTTGAGTGCCCTCTGGGGTCACACGGAGCAATGTGGCCCATCAACAAAATAAAATCGCTGACTGGTCTAAAAGCTTGACCCTCCACGTCTGAGGGGGGGGAGGGGGCAGTAAGGCCGCAGTGCTCTCTCAATATTTGGAGGCGAGGGTTGTTGGATCACGTAGATGTATGACACTTTCACAGCTGCCGGGCTCCGGGGTGGTCCAGAAGATGACACATCAGCGAGTTCATCAGGAATGTTGTATCTTCGTAAGCGCGTGTGAAGTTTGTTTTTCCTCAGGAAACTCAAGTGGCCTTCTGCATGGCTCATTGAGTCTCAACTAATTTTTTTTTCAGGAAGGTCCTGGATGAGAACCTTGGCCTATTAAAACAAACCACACGACTTCATTTTAGGATATCAGCTGGAGTGAGCGGATGAGTGGTCATTAACATGTAGCCTCTTCTTGTTTGTCAGAAATCCCATATTCAGCTTATGGAGGCCATGGTAATGAATCATGAAAAATGTCAACACATGCGTAAATAACACTGCTTTTAAAAAGAGACAAAAGGCGATTTAAGAGGCGGTGTGTGGGGCTGCGAGATAGCCAACAGGTAAAGTTACCCCCTCGCATGCGCATGGCATTTCTCCATCTTCTCTGATTTCCTCCCACACGAAGCCTCTCTAACTGCATTGTTCACAGATTCCAATGCAGCAGGACCTTTTTTTTTAAAAAAAGGTCTTGACACTCAGATTAAGGCTACCATGGGTAAATAATTGGTAATACTATGATTATGAATTTGGAAGTATTTTATCGCTTCCTCTCACCAGCACCTCAATAAATATATCAAGTGTCTGGGTCTCAAGAGTTTTCACCGTGGGAGGGAAAGGTGAGGGACTTGGGGTAAGTGGAGGAGAGGGGAGGAGGATGGGGGGGGGGGAAACCTGGCACCAGGGGAGGAATCCCAGCTATGGACGCTGGGACGCGTAATTGAGACGCCGTTTTTTTGGCCAAGAATGTAGATTATCTTCATTCCGCATGGCCGCGGCATTTCTATGTCGCACCCTTCATCCAATTTATTTCGCTTCAATTCTCTATTTGCCTCCTTTGCAAGACCAGGTGTATAGTTTATCTACTGTGCAAATGCATTGAGTGCACCCAATTGAGAGCGTGTTCGGCCCTTCTCAGTCGAGAGCAGTCTTGTTGTTGTGTGCAGTCATCGGCAGCCGTAATTCACACTCCACTTCGGCAGTGGTAATGCAAGCACAGATTTAAACACAATTTCCACCTTCCTGATTAATTGATTGCGTGTGTTGGCACATATATAATAATTACATATCATTTCATATTTCATAACACGTGTTTTTGTTATTCTTACTGAGCCTTACGACTCTCTTTCAGGAGGCTCCTACGTTGGGCTGTTTGGCCAATTACAAGAATGAGTGCATAGTTGGCTGACGTTTTAGGCAATGGGGCTTCTGGTCACGCTTGCTAATGACAGTGTTCTGCTCTCGTTGCGTTCTCAACTGGTTAAACAAAAAAAACTTGAAACGTGAATGTCTGTGTCATCTCGTGTCATTTGCAAGCTTGGCAATTGAAATAATTTTGATTCCGTGTTAAATTCTGTGATTAAAGCCAGTTAACAGTAATGTTATTTGCACAATCTTTTTTAGCTTTTTAAGTTAAAGTAGTGTCTCTGAACTGCAGTCTGCGCGACCACGATCTGCCTTTTCGCGATCATAAATAGTTTCTATTCACATGCAAATGAAGTCACTGCACATTGCATGCGTGGACCTGGCGTTTGGTTAATCACGGGGAGCTGCTGTGCCGAGATCCAAAACACTGAATTGAAGCGCCTGCTGGATATTTAATATTTGAAAAAATATCAGAGCATTTTTCGTTCAATTGCTAGTTAAGTTTATGCTATTTGTTGCACGGACGATCCCGTTTCGTCAGCTGTCTGGCTATTTTACAAGGGAGATCTGTGATGCTGTGAGCTCCTCGTGCCTCCCCCCCGCCCCCGCAAAATCCGCCTATGGCGATAACAATAACAAAGATAAAAAACATTAGCATTGCAGAGAGAGAGAGAGTACGGGGTACTTAATGAATGTTGCGCAATAAACGCGGTGCTTGACTGTCGTAAAACGACACCCACGCGTCTTAAAAAACAGTGCAAAGGTAATATGAAAAGGTTAAGTGTAGGTGCAGGTATCCTCTGTGCTTTAGGTTCGAAAGGGATGTAAAAAGGGGGAGTTCGTGAAGAAAGGGAACCAATTGCACCTGCAGAGAGTGCCCATCTCTGTTTGACAGCTCAGAGCAGGTGGTTAAAACATTCCACGTCCCTATGGAATGAGGAACGCATGGTGGTAAGATCATATTGGTTGTCTATAAATTGATTAACCACGGAAAATGGAAGCTGTTGAATTAGCGGTGGATGTCTGCAATTCAGAATGTGCTTTGCTGTGCCAGCCTTAATGGGTGCATGCTCACAACTCTCGCCCTATAAGCCAATTTAGTTTTACTGGGGATGTTTGTTTGTGTGCATGACACGTAGAAACACATTAATTGTCAGTATTACATTACAATTATAGTATACATGTTTAGTTCATAATGAAATCATTCATTGACCCATTAATTAAACTACTCCTTTATTCAATCATCTTATTCAATCACTCGTTCATCCACCTATTCAATCATTCTACAATCAATTCACTCAACCATTAATTTATGCACGAATTAATTAATCCACCCATTCAATCAACCACTCATTCATTCGACCATTTAATAATGTACCTACTCGTTCAAGCACTCAAACACCTACCTATTAAGTCTACCATCCATTCACTAAACCATTTATTCGTTCACAAGTTAATTCACCCATTCAACCATAACGCAGTACGATCACCGCTGCACCACCGCTCCACCATACGGTATATGTTCTGTGCTGAATTGCTTTTGGCACCCACCGAGGTCTCCTTTCTATCTATTTAAATAAAGCAGAAGTCTGATTCAGCAGTGGATGGATTGTGACTGATGATGATGATAATGATTACATATGTGCTCTCTTATACTGTAGGCACATGTCGGTATTGGGAGTGGAAAGCGCACTGCGCTACGAACCCGTCGATCTGAGTTCCATTTCCAGCCACGTCCAACATCAGTGGCGAGTGATATTTAAACGTGTCCCGGACCTCACCTGAGTTCGAGTTGACATTAGAATCCGCTGTGGTGTGTAAACTTCAGCACTTGTGGAGGCAATTTCAGCAATTGCGGCCTTAATAGGTGCTCGCTAACAAGGACAGTCAACAACTTCTTATCAACTCCAGTCCTCGCGACACTCACCCCCGCCGTCCCCGTTTTAGTGATTATTACCAATCTTTTTTTATCAATTTGCAAATTACATCACTACACACTGCACGGACCTGATAGTTGGAAATAACATAACGCTGTACTGAGGAGTTGACAAACCACTGGTCTATACTGTATGGTATACGAATACCTCCTATTTGCACGGTTGACTACGTACGATGCGAAAGAAGTTCAACATACACGCATAATACAATACTGTGGTGCCCAGCTCTCTGATGTATCCCGTCTTCGTGTTGTACCACGTGCTGTTCTGGCGTGACGCTCCACGTGCTCGGAGCTTCCTCGGCAACTTCGCTTCTTCCCTGGCACGTGCGGCGAGACCTCGTACATCATGCCGAACGACAGGCGGCGGGCAGAAACCCGACGGTCGCATCGGAGACCTCATATTCTACACGGCTTCTATATAAGAAGGAGACACAAAGCACGCGACCGCAACACCGCACCTGCATGGCCACTGATGACGACGCCCTCCAGCATCTCGCCAAAGTCCAGGTCCTGCTCCTCACTGTCGAAGGCGACGGGCTGCAGCTCGAATCCGTGGTGCTGCGTCGCGAACGTCTGGTGGATCCCCTCCACGGTGAAGAAGCAATCTCGCTCCTTCTTGTCGTCGTTGTAGATGAGAGAGGCTCCGCTCCAGCTGAAGCGACGGAACATGGCCAGGAAGAGCGCACCGAGCTGGGTGTACGCCGGGGCCACCCGCGTCAGAGTCTCATATTCATCTTTGGAATATGACCCGGGAGATGATGATGATGATGATGAAGACGAGGTCTCAGAAGACGCCTGGCCTTTGCTGGAGAAACCGCTGGCCAGGGCTCCAGCAGACACCATGGGGACCCCCCAGTGAACGGCCAGGCGAGCGACGGGCGCGGCCGCGTACTCGCACGCCGGACCAAGGATGAGGTGCGGGGCTCCGTGCTCGGTGTAAAAGTCCACGGCTGAGAAGAGGGCTTCGTTGCCGCAGCCCGAGTCTGCGAAGTGAATGGAGAAGCGGTGAGCCGGCAGCAGGGTCGCGTTGCCGGTCACGCTCTCGCGCGCGTACTCGATGGCGGGACGCACGCGCGCCTGCGAGAAGAGTCGAGCCCGGTCGGTGGGCAGGAGGACGAGCACGCGCACGAGGCGCGAGTCGCCGCCGCGGTCGCGGTTGTGCGCCCGCAGTGATGTCGGCACCATCAGCAGCAGCATCACCATCGTGAGCATCGTCTTGGCTGCCTGGAGCCCGTGGGCGTGCGCGTTGAACGGTCTCCCCATAGTTATGACACGCGGAGGTGGCCAGCAAATTGGTTGATAGTGGCAGTAGCCTAAGCGTCTAAACGATGCTGTTCAAAATAAAATAATTCAATCAGTAGATGAAAAGAGGGCCGTCGAGATAGTGGCTTAACATGCAGCTGCCTGCACGGTGGCTACTGAGAGAGAGGCATAGGCGCTGCGAGCTGCAGTCACGCGCGCGTGGAATTAAGAGCCGCGTGCGTTTATTGTGCTGCGAGAAGATGAAGATTCTCCGCTCATAGCACTTCGATCCCTCTGATCTCTGATGCCTGCTTCCCGCCGGGCGATCGGCCGATGAATGAGTTGCACGGTTGCAAACCTTGACTTTAAGGAGCCCATGAGTGAATTTGGACTGTACCACCCCACCTCGTGGGTTGGGTGGGGAGGGGGGAGAGCTGGCGGAGGGTGGAGAAGGAGGTCGGCATGAAGAATGAGCGAATCCAACATTCCATTAACTCTTTGAGCGCGAGAAATTGCAAGCTTTGTGAGCACTGGTTTTGATTTAAAACAATAGCAAATAATAAGATTTGATTGGCGAAATACGTTTACTGATACTTTACACAAAGGGGGATGTTTGGACATTAAAAGGGGCACCTGGCTTCAGTTAAACGGGACGAGATGTCATGAGTGATCCCAGTTATTATGTCATCAACTAACCCCTCCTGTACTCCTCGCCTTCGGCTTCCTCTGCTGCCTCGACTTTATACTCCACTCATCACTCTCTCCTCTCCCATTACCTATTTTTCTTTTTCTTGGTTCTATCGGTAAAGTCACGTAGAAGGGAAATAAAAATCTAAATTAAAAGAAAAAAAAACCCACGACGTTTCGATCGCGACACAAGCGGTCTTCTTCAGGTGGCGACAAAAGAAGACCTCTTGTGTTGCGATCGAAACGTCGTGGGGTTTTTGCTTTTAATTTTGATTTTTGTTTCCTATCTACGTGAATTTACCGAAAGAACCAATAATATAAATTCCTGTAGTCACAAAAGTTTTAAGTCTAAACCAATTTTTCTCTCGCACGTTTTCTCCGTGTCACTTAGTCCTTTATAGGCTCCCATCTCACACCTTATCTCATTCGTTCCTTCATTGCCTCCTCGTCCATCTCTTATATCCTTCCTCTCTTTTTCCTTCTCTCCCTTCCTCCCTCTCTCTTCGTTCCTCGTTCATCACCATTCCCCCATCTATTATCTACACTTATTCTCTATTTCGTTTCCCCTGTTTCCTCCGACCAATGTCATCCTCCTTTCTCACCTCTTCTCTCATCATTGGTCTTCAGCCTCGCTTCTCTCCATTGCGAATGACAGCAGAAAAACACGGGTAATGTCGCACCATGAAACATTATTATTGCATTGGAAGCGTTTTGCTAACACACCGATCATACGACTCTTCAACGATCTACGCCTTGAATTTCCCTGGCTGGTTGCAGGCTGGGCTGCTCCTCACCTCAACTCTATTGTTCGTGGCTGAGGGACGATGATACTAAAACGAGCTGGGTAACTGGCTAAACGTGATTTTTAGTGAAACACACAAACATTAAATTCGGTTGAAACGGCGGAAGCAGTTCAGAAGACGATGTTATAGATACAAGTATCAAAGAGGTGGGAGTAACGATTATAGAATCCAGTACGGACACAGTTAAGTTAAGACTTTTCAGTGTGTGCTCCTCTTAACGTAATTATTTCATCAACATTCTTTAGATCCGAGAGAATGCTTTTTAAATCCTTTATATTAAGTTCACTTGCTTGCTTGCGCGCTTACGACCGTGCAAATCTTTCGGTCGTTTTTTAACCCACTTCCCGTGATCCAGTCGAGCTGACATTTCGCACACAGACTCGTTGTGCGTGACAATGTATTTTCGTGAAAAAAAATTCCAAAATGTTACACTTTTTAGGAAAAAAATAATTATATTTAATTACCAATTGCTTAATGGTGGCAGGCAATCATCTGATCCATAGGTGGCAGCCATCTCAAGCCAGAGGACGAGAGGACTCTAGCCGCCACGCATATAAAGGATTTATAGTGAAAAACTTTGTTTTTACGGGTTAATTTTTTTCTTACTTTACAACACATATTATATTGGTAATTTATTTCGTAAAAAATAATCTGAGTACAGGATTGTGAGAAGAGTAGTTGTGTATGTCAATGTCAGCTGTCCACTACAAAGCAAAGTATTTTCTACACGCAATCATCATTATAATGAAATTTATTTCTTTAAAAAAAAAAGTTATATCGATGCTTAAGACCGCTTTCCTGCAGGCTGCTGCATTTGGATGTTTAATCAATTGAATGTTGATTGTTGTTTTGGAACTTTGGAAACCCTCCACCATACAATGGGGATGGCACTTTCAGGTCCGCTCCTCAGAACAGGTCGGGAACTCACTTGCTGTACTGCCATCTCCTGGCCACCTGTCAGAAGCAGGCTTGTGATTCTAGATTTGAAGCTTTCGTGACTGCAAGGATTCATATTCTTGGGTTTTTTCGGTAAAGTCACGTAGGCAAAAATTTAAATTAAAATTAATAAAAGTCAAATAAAAATAAAATAAAAATCACGACGTTTCAGAGGCAACACAAGCTTCCGTCTTCAGGTGGAACCGTCACAGCACGCTTGCTGTATCAAGTAAATTAAAAATTCCAAGAGATCCGACCCCGGATCTCTTGTGATTGCCACAAACCTATTCACGACCCAGCAGCCCCGTGCGCTGAATCGTTGGCATGCGGCCTGCGTCACCACGTCCTGCTCCGAGTCTAAGACGAGTGTCATCACTCATTGTCAGCTGGGTCCTCCTGGCGATGTTCGGATAATTCCTTATAGAGCTCTCGTTTTGTTTATGTCACGTGGGAGGGAAAACTTTTCCATGAGAAACCCCACGACAATTATTGGGCCGTCCATAAACGACGTCACGCGATTTTGGACGATTTTTGACCCCCCTCGTCACACAGCGTCACAAAAAGGCAGACCCCCCATAAAATATGACGTCACAAAGCTCTGCCCCCCCCCCCCCCCAAAAATAAAACATGCTTCAAATCGCTTTAAACTATTGTCATTGTAGTGCGTATTTTATGTGCTGCTGCACTCTGATGTTGTAATAGAAAAAGTCTATTTAATTAAGTAGAACGTGTTGTCTATATTTCTTTAAAGTTGCGCATTTTGATGTGACGTCACATTTCTCCCCCCCCCCTCGTCATACATCGTCACAAATGTCTGACCCCCCCCCCCCTAGGTGCGTGACGTCATTTATGGACGGCCCCTATAGGAGGCCACTTGGCCACCAAACCTGGGCGGTGCTTTGAGGGTTTGAGTCAGCACCTGCCCCAGGATTGTAACTCTCAAATTCCCTGCTTGAAGCTAAAAGTGGATAGAATACTGCCTTATCCACATACATGTTTTATTAAAACAGTATATTTCTGTAAAAAGATGTAACACCCATTCTTGTGCTGCGCTTGCTTGTTGATACATCTGAGTGACAGATCTCTTGTAATGTTACAACACTCCGTTAAATTAAAATATATAATTGCGATATTTCAGGCAATAGCCATCCCAAGATGTGCTAATAAGGACCATTGTCCAAAACGTCAACAACTGAATGTACATTTTAATTTTAAGGCCGCTGTGTTGTTGAGCATTGTTTTAATGATCAAGTTTAAACAAATGAAACGCGTTCATTTTGAACTGATTTTACGTCTCTCACCCCGCACCTCCGATTAGTACGGTTGGCTATGTACGGTGTGAAAAAAATAAGAACATACATACGTAAATTACATTGTTAATTGCGTAAGATAGTGTGAGTGGACGAAGCGTATACCCCTCGTCTGCTCTCAGTCAAAAGGCGGCATGTATATTCCTGGTAATAACCCGACTGTTAAATTTCACAGCAAAGTAGTACAGCATCCCCTGGTGGTCATGGTGAAAATGACGATGGTGATCGAGTGCGAGGACAGAGTTTATTATGGGGATGATGACGATGATGATAACGAAATTTGTAAAGGTGATGGTGTTAATGACGAGGTTGATGATGGTGTCTGTGATGTTGATGATGGGGAATTGGATTAGGTCAATGGCGTATTTTATGGCTTTGTCACTGCTGCTGAGGATTACTTACAAAATAGAGATGATATTTGGGTTCATAGGAAAGTGACATGGTTCATAATAGAGTTGTTTTGGTTTAGATCGCGTAAATATACAAATGTGTCGTTAAACCCGCCACCACCCGACATAACCAACTAGAACTAGTAAGGGTTGTCACATTAACAGAACGTGCCAATTCGTCACTAGTACAGCACTAACCGGTGTGTTGGAGAGCCAAGCCACAACATTTACAATCTGATTACGACGTTTCGCCAGTAATTACAACTAGCTTCATCAGGCGACAGCCAGATTTGTGGAGAAATCTACCTGTTTCGTCCCTTATATAGAGGCGTAGATGTGGTGACCACACTTATGCACATTTGCGCAAACTAGGGGGGGGGATTCATGAGTCAACGTACATTATGCATGCGCATTATGCGAGCCCATTGATCTTGTCCTTTCTGTCCATTGTGTGTATTAAAATAGCCGTACCAATGGTAATCTCTATTGAATTATGGTGGCCTGCATTTAAACAATATGTTATTTTGATTTGAAGCTTTCGTGACTGCAGGAATCCATACTCTTTGGTTCTTTCGGTAAAGTCACGTAGGTATAAAATGAAGTTAAATTTTATTTTAATTTTATTTTATACCGACGTGACTTTATTTGATGATTAGCTTCCACGCATCACGAAGTCGGTAGCTTTCCGAACGGTTAAAAGTTTTTTTTTTTTAAATTTCGATATATTCTCAAATTATTCTTGGCCAGTAGTACCTAGTTTTGCACAGAACTTCAACATTATCAAAATCAATTGAGTGTCCTTGTTGGCACGCGTGTTCTGCTACTGCTGACAGTTGTATTTGTGAGTATATATATTTCTCACGCTGGCTGGAAATACTTCAAGAGTGCTCGTTCCGAGTTAGATATCGTAAAGGGGTGCGACATTGTAATGCGGATGCGTTGTCCCGCTTGCCCCTGATGGAGCGTTGTGCATGTTCGTCGGGCGCGGGCCACTGTAAACCACCCGTGGCGGGGCCACTGAACGTCATGGCAGCGCTCGGTTAAAGGGGGAGCCCCCCAAGGTGGTAGCGCCAGGGGACAGCACTTTGAATCTCACGAGCGCCGAGTGGGGGCGGTTGCAGATGGAGGATGGGTCCATCATGGTCTTGCGGCGTCGCGCTGAGTTGCAGCACAAAGGGTCTGCATGTTGAGCGACGT